AGTTTTATAGTCATTTTTATTAATTTATTTTTTATCTAATTCATCATCATTTGTTGTAACAAGCAGAGAAGAAAATAAAACCTGTCTTCCAATTCATTGCATTTTTTTGTGGTAGAAGTATCGGCATCTGTACTTGGTATCGGCAAGTACTCAGATCCAAGTATCAGTATCGTATCGGTTTGAAAAAAAGTGGTAGCGGTGCATTCCTAGTTAAAACTTTAATCATTATGATTTCAGTTCTGACTGTTTCAGCGGCACATGTTGTAACTACTGGTAATGGCAAGTATGTTTTTATAATATTAATCCCAGAGTTCTATTACAAATCTCACGTGTATGACCTACTGGTGGCAGCAAACTCACCCTCAGCAAAGCCCCGTCAGAAATGTAATACAAATGCATGTACTGACCTTTATCTGTCACATCAGACACATTAAGTAGTATGCGAGTGCATAACTTCCTGTGAATCACCAGTGTGTAGACACACTATTTGATGCCTGTGTAGTTTCCGCCAGTTAAAATGTAAACTAATATATAGAGAGGCATTTACAGAATGCCAATACAATTAAAGCAGCAAGCAGCAATGATCGGGTTCTTGCAGTCTCCGCATTTTAAGGAGGTGCTGTGGTTGAGTAAGCTCCAAATTCCACTGGACATTGCCTTTCATAAGGCTGATCACACCCATTCAAGGCAATGCGCTAAATTCTACCAGAAGCGCCATGACACATCTCTCCACTCAGCGGCTGGTATATATTTGACGGAAGCTGCGACCCACTCGTGTAAAGCAGAGCAGAGCAGAACGGACTGGCAGGAATTCAGACACAGAAATAGCATAGACTCCGGTCAATTTTTTAAATAAAATACAGCGTGCAGACTCCGGATTAAATTTTAAGCTAGATCAAGATTGTTTCACCAGGCTAGAAGTCAGAGGAGATTTTAAGCGGAGAACAAATAGTTTTGTTTCTTCTTTAAGGGCAAAATACACAAGTAAAGAACCTGACGATTTCAAGACACGTGAATCACGAAGCAAAACCCCAACACAGATGGGATGTTAATCATTATGATTTGTGCCCAGTGAAATGTTGGGGTCATGCGGCAGCAGACCGCGCTATGGTGCTGTGGATTGGCTTTTTTGTATGTCTGGACACAATCAATGTGTTTACCAAATTTCATGATGGGGCTACATTTTAGAGAGTGCCGTCGAGCCATTTTGCTATTTTGCCTCACCTATGAGCGAGACCATTATAAACCTGTCAATTTCCGCCACTGCTGAATTTTGTGCCATGTTGCACCCGTCAAAAATGCTATCATTTTGGCAGAAAGATAACTAATTCCTTTAATTACAATGGAATTAATCAATGTTTATTGCTGTAAACTGCCTGACAATAATAGTAGAAATGGTTTGATATGAAATGTTAAATAGTTAAAACTCACTGTGGCATTGTGCCCTGTTGCCTCCCAGTCAAGACAGAGCTAGCAGTAAGAGCCTGCTGTCAGTAAGCACCTAAAAGTGGCACATAACTTGATAAATAACTTATCTGAAAACAATGTTAATACCAGCTTCAAGCTAACAGTCTAATGAACTTCTCTTTTGTAGTAGCCATTTAGTTGAATTCTACTGTGCTGTTGTATTTCCACTGTGAGTGAAAAATTTAAAGTGCAAGGCCAATTTTGGAAACTTCTTTCTGAATGTCTTAAGTTGGTGAGAGTGGAGTCAAGTACAGTGTGTTATCATTTAACAAAATAAATTACAAAATCAAGGTGTCTCACTGAATAAACATGGCCTGAGCAGTTTGGGTCATGACTGTTACCTGGACATACAACAGCTACAAGAAAACTATCAAACATCTGTGCTGTGCTGCAGACTGATCGAACCTTCTCGAGAGAGTTTGGAGGGAGGAAGGGGGGGCTGAGGTTGGACTGAAGTCACAGTCTGTACGCAGGTCATCAGCCTCCCTCAGAGGTTCCAAGAGAATGCAGAGTTGGTGGTTGCTGGGTTTCCTACAGTAAACAGAGCCTGTGTGCTCCTGGAATCACACCTCCACTGATGTGATCTGGTTCATCTGGGCCCTCATGGACTGGATGCTGTTGAGAATCTTCTTCTGGTGGCCGGCCAACGTCACTCCCACTCTGTGGATGTCCCTGAAGAGAAACGATTTGTCAGGTCCAGCTAAGTATACCAGCTCAGAATTTCTTGAAGACCTCCTATTTAGAGCCTGTTTAGACCTGGTATTAACATGCCCCTTGGGTAGAACAATCAGTGGACAGGTTAATGTACATCAATTTACACCTGGCATTAGAATCCTTATCCACCATGGACATATATAAAGATGGACAACATGACAGCTCTCCAAAAGTAAAGCAAAAACATCTAAATCGCAGTGGCTGACTGCAGTATAGGTCATATAGCCCACTGCCTCCAGGTTAACAGATCAGAAATGGGCCAAACAAAAAAAAGTACACTGCAAATACATTTTAAAAATTTTAGGTAGTTAAATCACACAGATATATGTAGTTTGGTTTCAATTAGTTATTTGAAGATATAAAAAGGGGATTTCATGTCATGATAGACGTCACCAGTGCACGATGGCAGTGGCAGTATCCCAGGAACTATGGCTTAATTTTTGTACAGTGGAAGGAAGTGGACCCAAAGTCCATCTTTTATCAGTCGATGGTGTCCACGTCTTAAGATCTCGAGAGGACATGGAGCTTTTTTTGCCTTTAATTTTGTCTCAGCATCTTCTTGTACTGTTTGCAGCAGACTGTAAAAAGCTAATGCTATCTATCAAAAGTTAGAGCTATGAGTCAGGCAAAAAAAAAAAAAAAAAAAGTAGCCTAAAACTGGAGGTCTCATATATACGTTTCAGAGCTGGAAGCCACTGGTCACACACAATCATCTGAACGCTTTTTCTCTTTTGAGTTTTTCCAGCAATGGCAAGGGAAAATGGCAAAGCAAAACGTGATGGCTGCTGGCAGCTAACTAGCTAACGCAGCACGCACTCAGGTTAACCGCAAGCTCACCTTTCTTAAAGGGGAAGGATCAGCCGGTAACACACAGGTGCAATTAGGCTCTGGGTGTGCTAACCAGAGGTGGAGTACATGTTTACCACCCCCACTGTGAAAATACCCCACTATAAATTCCGCATTCTAAACCTTACTGAGGTAAAAGTATTATAGTATAAAAAGCAATTAAAGAAATCATTGTGCAGTCAAATAATCCCTGTCAGTGTTTTACTATGTATGATGTTTGCTGCATTACTGTTGCATTTTAATGCTGTATTAAGGTTGACCTCCAATAAATGTACTAAAGGCCAAAATGTTCTTGCCCTAAAAATTACTTAATTTCAGGCCTGGTATTAGCACCCAATCTTTCTTTGTGCAATCTGTCTTCTTTATAGTATGGATATATCTATTATCTAGTATTTAACATACTCCATTGTCATTTGAGACACCACATCAAAGCTGTTGAAGCCTTCGTTGGCAAAGTTCTCCTTGTACTGGCCCATTTTAATGGCGTCCAGCCACTCATCCACTGTGCTGAAAGATGAGAAGTCTGGAGTGCTGCGATCAAGCAGAGGTAAGTGAACACTGGTGGACAGAAAGAAGAAAAAAAAGAACAACCTGTGAGAACGTTGATTTGTGAGAGGTGAAGGTCATTCACAGCATGAAATGATGGAGGTCCTTTCTCCCATACCTTGATGACAGCGGTGTCATGGCTTTGAGGCTGTTGGGGTTGCGGATCATCTTGTCCAGGGTGCTGACAATCTGGCTGAATTTGGGCCGGTTGTTGCGGTCTTTCTGCCAGCAGTCAAGCATCAGCTGATGCAGTGCACTAGGACAATCCATAGGGGGTGGCAACCTGTAGTCCTGCTCTATGGCATTGATAACCTAAAAGAATTTACAAAAAACTGTTTTTCCCAGAACATGGCTTGAACCTGATTCAGTACAGAACTACGCACAGGTCTGTGAAATGAGGCCAGTACCAAACCACCTTACTGCATACTTTCTAATGACCATCAGGGACAGCTAAGAAAAGCCCAAAAACTATACTTCTGTCTTGATTTATTAGCACAGTAAACAGTTTGCTAATGAGTTCATGGTTTCAATCTCTAGTTTCAGTCTTCTTCCATACAGCATAGTGTTCATTTAGTAATTTATGGTCCCATTTATAGTAAAATATGCATCTCTCTCTCTCTTTCTCCTTCTTGCTTAAAATATTTTCAGAAATTTAAATGTACTGTTCTGGAATATGAGAAAGTGTGGGACTAGGTGAGCTGCTGAGTTAAAACCAAGTGCTGGTCACCTGGTTTTTGTTTAGCATAGAGTTACAGCCATGCCCAAACCCATGGTAAGACAACCAACTGGATACTATTTCTAAAACCAGAGTTGGAGCTGTACACTTTGGTCCTGACTAGATTTTAGTCAGGACCACTTTTGTCAAAAGAGACTTATCCCAAATACAGAATGTTATATTTGGCGGGGCTATGGGCTCTCGTTTCTTGGGGACCTGCCATTGCCCTTTGCCACCATGCCTACGTGGAAAACCTTAAGGCAGGGTGAGCACACCTCCCTGCCCTTCCATGTGCATACATACATGGTTTAAGACAAGGGGAGCAGCAGCAGAGACCCCCAGGGTACAGAACAGAGCAAGCGTCAATGGCAACCGAAATGACATTGATTAATTAGATACAACATAAAAGGAGGAGCTGGGGTGGAGGTGGGTTGCAAAACAGCTTGCAGAGGAAGAAGCAAAGATAGGCAGGCTAAAGCA